AGCCGTCGTCACCGTAACAGTAGTGATAGTAGCTGTAGTAGGACTCGTAGTTCGAGTAGTAGCCGTAGTAGTAGCAGTAGTAGTAGTAGTAGTAGGAGTAGTAGTAGTAGTGGTCGTAATAGTAGTAGTAGTAGTAGCAGCAGCAGCAGCAGCAGTAGTAGTAGTAGTAGTAGTAGCAGTAGTAGTAGTAGTAGTAGTAGTAGTAGTAGTAGTAGTAGTAGTGTTAGTGTTAGTAGTAGTAGTAGTAGCAGTAGTAGTAGTAGTAGTAGTAGTAGCAATAGTGATTGTAGGTAGGCGTAGTAGTAGTGGTAGTACTAGTAAGTGTTGTTGTAGTCGACGTAAGATTAGTAGCTGTAGTAGCCATAAGAACCGATAATCTTCCATAGCCGTGCCACACGTTGCATAATTATGTTGCTATTCAACATAAGAAAATCGCATCTTCGATTTGCAACTTTCCCCCGCGATAATGAAGTTCGGCCTCGCCGCCCCTCCCCCGACCATCTCTGCTCGGCTGGGGAAAATAAACTCTCAGGGAGTGAAGAAGGGGTATGCTATATATATATATATATATGAACATATATATATATATATATATATATTATCCAGGGCGCTCGGTTATCGACAGGGAGTATTGTTGTATTGTTTTGTTCTGGAGGTGTCGGGCGGGTGCGTTGCCATTGTAGGGGGGCTGGTCTGCGGCGCCACAGCAAAAACGCAACTCCAAAGTATAGCGGAAGGAAATATAAAGCGGGAGAGCTGGTTTTGTTGGAGGGCTGGTCTTCGGCAGCGAGCAAGAACACAACTCCCGAGTATAAAGCAAGGTAACATCGAGCGGAAGCGTCGTCACTACAGGGTGGCTGGTTTGCGGCGCCGAAGTGTTCGCACAACCTCTAATCATTATCCTGGCGACGGACCCGACCATGTACAGTTGTGATTGCCGCGTTGTGGGTACCAGGGTTTCGGTGAGCTTCCCATGGGGCCGCGATCATCGCGAGGGTTGTGCCGAAACGGGGCGTCGACGCCGTGCAAACTTTGCCGCCAGGGCCACCGGCGGAGCTCCCTATAATGCCACGATTCTCGTGAAGAGTGCGCCGAAACGGGCGCGGTGCCGCCATGTGAACCCTGCCACTGAGGCCTTCGGTGTACTTCCCTTGGGGCCACGAACCTCGTGAGGGGTGTGCTGAAATGGGTGCGGTGCTGACATGCGGACGCAGCCAGCTGGGTTTCCGGTGGAGCTCCCCATGGAGCCACGAAACGTGTGAGGGTTGTGCCGACATGGGCGCGGTGCCGCCATGCGAACGCAGCCACTGGGGCCTTCGGTGGGGCTCCTTATGTGGCCACGAGCCTCGTGAGCGGTGTGCCGACATGGACGCGGTGCCGCCATGCGGACGCAGCTAATTGGGTTTCCGGTGGAGCTCCCCATGGGGCCACGAAACGTGTGAGGGTTGTGCCAACATGGGCGCGGTGCCGGCATGCGAACCCTGCCAATGGCGTTTTCGGTGGATCTCCCCTTGAGCCGCGAAACGTGTGATGCGTGAGCCGGCATGGGCGCGGTGCCACCATGCGGACGCAGCCACTTGGGCTTCTGGTGGAGCTCCCCATGGAGCCACGAAACGTGCCAGGACTGTGCCGGGATGAGCGCGGTGCCGCCATGCGAACAGTGCCACTGGGGCCTTCGGTGGAGCCCGCTATGGGGCCGCGAAGCGTGTGAGTGTTATGCCGGAGTGGCATGCGGAGGGCAGAGGCAGGGATGGGAGGAGGGAGGAACGGGCGGGCGGAGGGACGCGTGGGGCGTTGTCATTTTCAAAACACAAAGGCTCAAGACCACAGGATGGTCGGGCAAGCGCAAAGAGGTATCGTGCGGGAGAGCAGGAGCGCCAGTCCTGAGTAGAAATGGGAGGAAGATGTATCGAGCGGGAGCGTCGTTGTTGTAGGTGGCCGTTTGCGGCGCCGAGGCGAGAGCGCCGGTCCTGAGTAAAAAGCAGGGAAGTAGCAAGCAGGAGCGACGGGTTGGCAGCTTTCAGCGACGAACAGAAGCACCGATCCTGAGTAGAGAATACCGAACGGGAGCGTCATTGTTGTTACATTCTTAGGGGGCTAGTTTGAACCACCCCCCCAAAACGCTCGAGCGTGAGCCTCGTTCTGAAAGGACATGCAGCCTGCGCCGGGGCAAGATTCATTTTGTCCTGAAGATTCACAAGCAAAAGACGGGGTCGAGAGGGAAAGAGAGAGATAGAGAGAGAGGGAAGAGAGACACACACACACACAGCGACAGAGGAAGAGGGAGACAGAAACAGAGTTCGAAGTTCGAAGTTCGAGGACCAGGGGTCGAGGTTCGAGGATCGACGACCAAGGTTTGATGCTTGCCGTTCAGGGCCGTCTCCAGAGGACCCTGGAAACCTGCGGAAGCTCCATAAGGACCCCCAGAGTGAGGATCCGGGGAGGCTCAAGCAAAATTAGCCTGGCGAAAGACCCAACCATATGCAGTTGTGAATAGAGCAATTTCGAATACCATCTTCGTGCGCGCACCCTATGTGGCCATGGTTTCACGCCCGAGCCCGACATGCTCAGCGACACGTTCATGGCCGTCTTCGCGGGCGCCACCGACGACGAGGACGGCGTCCCTCTGACCGAGGCGCAGAATCAGGAGAGGGCTGTGAGAGCCATGAGGACGGAGGTGGCGCTGCACGTCGACAAGGCGAGTACGACGCCCAAGCGCGGTTATTGAAGCAGCACAGCTATGGGGCCATGATCCTCGTGAGGGTTGTGCCCAAATGGCCCGAGGCCGCCATGCGAACCCTGCCACTGGAGCCTTCGGTGGAGCTCATATGGGGCCACGATCCTTGTGAGGGGTGTGCCCAAATGGCCCGAGGCCGCCATGCGAACCCTGCCACTGGCGCCTTCGGTGGAGCTCCTATGCGGCCACGATCCTCGTGAGAAGTGTGCCCAAATGGTCCGAGGCCGCCATGCGAACCCTGCTACTGGCGCCTTCGGTGGCGCTCCTGTGGGGCCGCGATCCTCGTGAGGGGTGTGCCCAAATGGTCCGAGGCCGCCATGCGAACCCTGCCACTGGCGCCTTCGGTGGAGCTCCCTATGAGGCCATGATCCTCGTGAGGGATGTGCCCAAATGGCCCGAGGCCGCCATGCGAACCCTGCCACTGGCGCCTTCGGTGGAGCTCCTATGCGGCCACGATCCTCGTGAGGGGTGTGCCGAAATGACCCGAGGCCGCCATGCGAACCCTGCCACTGGTGCCTTCGGTGGAGCTCCTCTGCGGCCACGATCCTCGTGAGGGGTGTGCCGAAATGACCCGAGACCGCCATGCGAACCCTGCCACTGGCGCCTTCGGTGGAGCTCCCGATGGGGCCACGAAGCGCTGTGCTGGGTGTGCCGAAACAGAGACACGCGGAGCGCACAGGAGGGGGAGGAGGAGGAGGAAGGAGAGGAGAGGCACGCAGGGGCGCTGTCTCTCCCAAACGAGGACCCAGCACCACGGGATGGTCGGGAGATGCAGCCTCCAACTCTGCTCCTTCTTCTCCTGCTCCCCTTGCTCCGCGGACGGGCCAAACAGAGAGCCAACATCGCTCGCCTCCGCAGGCGGATATGCCGAAGTGGACGGTGGAGGACACCATGACGAAGAGAGCCGCGTTGGTCCAGAGGCCCTCCTTGTACTTCGGCCCGCTCGCCGTCCAGTCCTCGAAGGACGAGCAGCTCGCCAACACTGTATTCCTCCCCCTCCCACCCCCTCCTCCTGCACCTCCTCCCCTCCGCATGCCCCCCCTGGAGGCCTCCAACATTGGCGCAGAAGAGGTGCGGCCAAAGGTTCGCACCGGGACTGCCGACGCCTCGATCACGCAGCGGCGGTGTCGGGATGCAGAGACGACTGTTGAAGGTCGCGCCCACATTGCGAATGCATCGGCGATTCTGCTCGATCTGGGGGGGAGGTCACCTGTCCAGGGCCTGCGCCATCCTCTGTGCATGGGGGGAGGAGTGAACGGGAGAGGTGTGAACGGGAGAGGTGCATGACCCTGAGATCCGACATCATGAAAAGTGCAACGTCGTCAGAAAGTTCGACCCCAACCCTGGACACGATCTGGCCCTTTTCGAGCTGGATCGATTCACGCGGGCCCCGGGGCCCTAAACAAAGCAACGTTGCCCGTTGCGATAAAATGCGATGCCAGGATCTCAGGGTGCGCGCTTGACCCTCCCCGAGTCCAGGAATATGATCTTGCCGGATGGCTCCGTGAGGCCGTGCGTCGACACGGCGGCCCTCACGGCCGTGGCGAAGTGGCCCTCCTCGTCGGGGATCGCCACCCCGGTCAGCGCGTGCGGGTCCTTCCGACTTGCCGCATCTAGCGGGAGCTGCGCTCCTTGCCCCCCTTTCGGGGAGACGTAAGACTCGTGTACGGGGGACTCGGGTGGCCCTGACGGGACAATCATAACCCTGTGCGGGCGACAATGACCCCCCTGGGATAAGAAAGTTCGCGGGTCCCGCGGGGATAATAAGAGATGTTCCCGGGGAATGTAAGTTATGATGATGATGAGGAGGAAGCTGACGACGATGATAGAAGAGGAGGAGGAGGAGGAGGAGGAGGAGGAGGAGGAAGTTAAACCAGGCGCACGACAGAAGCCTGACTCGAGCGATCTCGAGGCTCGTGGCTACTTGCCCGCAGAGGCGCACGACGCAAGGCTGACTCGAGCGATCTCGAGGCTCGTGATTGCGGAAGCTGGTGTGGTGAGACCACCATGGCCATGCTCAGCGTTTTTGATGCTGTTGCTAATCAACATGATATGATAGCAGCTTCGATCCCCGCAACTTTTCGGTGGATTATCAAGTTCGGCCTCCGCGCCTTCCCCACAGATAAATCCCTGTGGTCGGGGATCAAATAAATAGAGGGGTGAACGGGGGGTACTTTATTATCGCCCGTGGTCGGTTAACAATGACAAGACCCACCCTGAAAGTTGACGCGACCTGCCGCTGCAGACGTCCCACGAAAACGGAACCGCCAATATCCAGGACGCGGTCGTCAAAAAACGTCGGCGAACCCGAGTTCCGGCTGCCTCGAGTCTTACCAAGGGCTCCCAACTTCGCGCTTCACGCTGCGCGAAGCGCGAATAACTTCGCGCTCTCGCGCCGCCCCCCCAAAAGGAGAAAAGAAGGATGAGGAGGACTCGGAGCCGAACCGCGAAGCGCGAAGCGCGAGTAACTTCGCGCCCTCGAGGGCGCCCACCGTTGCGGACGGCGCCCGGGCCTAGAGCAGACCACGGGGGTGAGGCCATGGCCTCCAGGATCTGAGGTGTATGGATTCATGCACTGGGAGACCTGTAAAATGTGTTAGGAGGAGGAGGGGAGGAGGAGGAGGAGGAGGAGGAGGAGGAGGAGGAGGAGGAGGGGAGGAGGGAAGTTAGGAGGAGGAGGAGGAGGAGGAGGAGGAGGAGGAGGAGGAAGAGCACGTCCTTGCCTGGGGGCACTCTCACCGCCTGGGCTGCCGCTGCTTGGGCCGCCTCGCCCTCGGCCACCGGGGGCCGTCGACGGAGACGGCGCGGGAGGACAAACAAAACGGCCCTGGTGTTCTGCTGCTCCCGTCGTGCTGACATGGCTGCAGTCCTCGGCCTGACCTCAGGAACGACACATGAGGAACGAAGCTCCTTTTTTTATCCCAAGGGATAACGCATAGGGAACGAGGAATAACACATAAGAATCACGCATAAGGAACGATACACAACAAATGACGCATCAGGAACTTTGAAAAACGCATGCAAGCCTGAGGAACGACCGAGCCCCTTTTGAAAAAACAAGTGTTCCTTATTCAAGCCGCTCACTGTACATCCCAGAAGTCATTTCGAGCACCTGGAGAAGTGTCGAACACGTGTCGAAGCAGTGTCAAAAAAGGCCTCCCAGGGCTCGACGCGTGAGAACCCTCAAGTTTCGGCACTTCACTTGGAGCTCGACATTCTCTCGGGTGGCTAAAGTAGGCTGGAACAGTATAACCCCGGTGGAAGGGTCGGCATGTCCAGGAATAGGTAGGGCCTGTCCTCCTACAGGAGACTTTGGACGAAAGATAAAGCATTCCAGAAACATGCCCCAAAATGACAGCAAAGATTCCAAAAAGAATCGTTCCCAGACTATTGTTCTCCTATTCTTGTGGAGATTCCTCCTCTAGAGGGACAGGCGTCCGACTCAGCCCTGGTGAAAGGGTCGGCATGTCCAGGGACCCCCTACTGAGACATGACAACCTCGGCTGTCTGGAGACGGGGCTCCGAGGGCCCAGCCCCCTGACGTCCTGAGGTTTCTCACCATGGGAACGTCTCGACCCCTCGGCATCGGCGCTCCGTCCCGGCTGCTTTTGGTGGACGGCTCTAGGGCTCGGCCAGGGCCCCTGCGGTGCCAAAAACGGCCCAAGACCTTTCGCCGTGCTCTTGTGTCACGACGCGGGGGTGCCTGTGAAGGGAAAGGGACCACAGCTCCCCTAGCTGCTGCCAGCCTGTCCTTCACGTCGCCGCACGAGAACCCCCCTCTCTGCTCGCAGCAGTCGGTGCCGGCGGCCCAGTACCTGGACGAGGAGTCATTACACAAGGCGCTGTTGGAGGAGGAGGAGGAGGAGGAGGAGGAGGAAGAGCAGGAGGAGAGGGAGCAGGAGGAGGAGGAGGAGGAGTGAGACCTCCTCCCGACGAAGATCCGACGAGCGCAGAGCCCAGAATCTCCGACGATCATACTCTTCCGTCCAAAAGGCCGTCCCTCGATGTCGGGTTATGACATCCAAGTTCGGGCCTCTCGGGGCCATCAAGCCTGCAGGTGGGACCAAACGCTACCCGGGGGGAAGGGGTCGACGAGACCTCTGGGGCCGCCAAAAAAACATGTTGGAGGGTGTCTGGGACCAGCCCCAACCCTCCTCCTCCTCCTCCTCCTCCTCCTCCTCATCCTCCTCCTCCTCCTCGTCCTCCTCCTCCTCTTCCTCCTCCTCCTCCTCCTCCTCCTCCTCCTCCTCCTCCTCCTCCTCCTCCTCCCTCCTCCTCCTCCTCCTCCTCCTCCTCCTCCTCCTCCCCCTCCTACCCCTCCTCCTCCTCCTCCTCCTCCTCCTTCTCCTCCTCCTCCTCCTCCTCCTCCTCCTCCTCCTCGTCCTCGTCCTCCTCCTGCTCCTCCTCCTCCTCCCCAGGCCCATCGACTCTGTGCACAGTCAAGCTGCTACCATGAAGCGAGGCCACATGAGGAAAGAGACCCCACTTTGGCCCCAGGACGCGCCCAGATGCACGAGGGACGCGAAAGGAGCAGGCATGGATGGACCCCAAGATCAGCGAGCGCCTTCAGAACACAAGCGGTTCTTCATTTGAACCTCTTGATTGGTACGCCAGAGCTGGGTGTTGAAAACATGTACGATGCCCAAGAGCAAATCCTGCCAAAAACCGACAGCGCCCCGTGTTGGGCAGGCGACCTTCATACTCAAATGGACAACGCCCGCGGTGACACCGACAGCGAGCCCTGCTAAGCACGGGCACGAACTGCTATCCGACTTTGCCCCCAGGCGTGGAGGCCAGTCCACAAGACCACTTCCACAAGAAGCCCAACCCTGAGACACCAGGACGTCCATGGATGTTTGGTGTCGGAACGTCACGCTCTCCTTCGGAAAACCATCGAAACCCGAGATACCCAGGGCACCCTGGAGGCAAGCAGGGTGTTTCTTGGCATTCGTCTCCACTGCACCCCTTTCGGTCGCACCGACATGACTGCACAGAAGACACATACGATCAGAGAGCTTGCTATAAGAAATCTAGGGGCACAGTCGTCGTGGATCGTTGAGTTTCCTGGGGCGCCCGAGGGCCTCAAACGGTCTCCGGGGCCATCAAAAGGGTAAGAAATCTCCGCAGGCGCACATGCTTAGAGGACGGAAGGGCCACATCAGCATAAACCTTCGGAGGTCGGCGTGAATTTCTTTGACTGGCGCTGTAGCACCCTTCCTGGCGCGCGGGGCCAGGGGGCGGCGCTGGAGACGCCGCCAGGGGAGCCCAGCGCCGATCCCAGAAATCCGGGCGGAGCTCCGAAGGCTCACGCGTCACGCGTCTTCTTCCTCGACCGCTGGCAGGCCGAGGTCTTACGTGACACGCCTACTGAGTGTTCATCCCCCTGCGAATGCCCCAGGCATCCGATGTCCTAATTTGTTTCAGTACGCTTAAGTCGGGCCTGTCCCCCTACAGGGGAATGTTGGGCGAAAGATGAAAAGTACTCAAAAAAGACCCCCAGATAGTCAAAACATACTCAAAAAAGTCCCCCGACTATTTTTTGACTGTTTTTGAATTCTCCTCCTGTAGAGGGACAGGCCCGACTTAACAATACGCGACCCCCGCAAGTCCCGAACCTTCCCCTTGGGCCGGTCCTCAATCCCGAGCTGTTCGCGGACGGCCCCGGGGCCCGGCGAGGGCCCCCGGAGGCCGAGCACAGCAGGGAGCCGTGCGTCCTGATTCTGCCACGTCGCGAGCCTGTCTGGGACCTGTCTGCTCGACTGTACCTGCCAGACCACCCCAGGCCAACCCGAGGACCCGACTTTCGAATTGGGGTGGGAGGGGGGGGGGAGTACGGGCTTCCCATGTCTTTTTTCCGTGTCCCCGACCCCCCCCCCCCCCCAACTGGCAATGTGGGGCGAATCGGGGCCTCCGGGTTGGGCTGGGGTGGCTTGCTTTTTGGGCGGTGACCCTCGCCGAGCACCCGGGCCCCGCGTCCGACGCCGCGGCGCCCACGACGGGCGCGACGCAGTACACGGTGCCGCGCTTCATGTACCCGACCGAGCTCTTGGCGTCCACGCTCGTGCCCGCCACGAACTCGAGCACCGCGGCGTCGGAGCGGGCCACCGCCGGGTCCGACGCGCTCACCTGCCCCGGTAGGGCGACGGAGGGGGGGGGGGACGGGGGCGGCCTCCTGCGGAGCTCTCTCGGCACGCTTCCGAGAGGCATCCGCGGGATGCTTTCGAGGGGCGTCTCGGAAGTGCACCAGACAAGCGCGTTCCACGACTCGCAAAGTAGCTACTCGCAAATGGCCTCCTGCTTCCGCCATGGGGGATCTGCGATACACTACATCAAAACAGCCATGTGTGTTCTTCGGACGTTTGCGATTAGGCACTTTGCGAGTAGTGCAACGCGCTCGGAGATATACCAGGAGCTCCTTTGGGCTTCTTCTGCGAGGCCAGGCCGATGGGATGCTCTCGGGAGTTTCGTGGGCGGGCTGCTGCGAGGCGTACGCGGGGGCTGCTGGGAGGCTTCTGGGAGGCTTCTCCGAGAGATGTCTGGGAGGTTTCCCGAGAGGCTTGCGAAGGGTTCCCTCAAGGATTTTGCATTCATCGGTTGTGTTCACCTTTCGTCTCCTGAAGTTCCCCTCCCTACGAGGAGGAGATATACTACATACTACGAGGAGGGGAAGGAGGAGGTCATGTATGTTGCTCGCGAGCAGGGCATTGAGCTGCCGGAACGAAGCGTCACATACATGTGCTTCGGAACGCGATGCGTTGAAATTCGATCAGTTGTTGTATGCATGTTCGCCCGAGCGCTTTGGCAGGCTGCGCAGGCGCCGAAGGAGGGTATGTCACCAATGTTGCTGGCTTGTCCTGGGCTATTGGAACATCCGTGGGCCAACTTCGCCCGAGAGGTCCCCGCGCTTTGCACGACATGGGGCCTGGCGGGACCTGGCGTGATGCAGGTGTTGCCAAGTGCCCAATCCGCATTGTAATGCGCACCTTTGACGCGCGTGGCGAGCAGTTACTTGTCCGAGTCCTGTCAGGTTGGCCGATGTGTGAACCAGACATCACGTATGCCCCAATTCGAACACATCGTGCTCCAAGCTAAGCATCGCATAGCAGAGCCCTTGCGGACGCGGTGTTGGTGTGATTTATACACGGGGTGCGCTTTGCCAGAGGATCCACTGGCCAAGCCTTCGCTGAGGTGGTTCCTGTCGACTAAGTAGAAGAAAGCGCCGCTAGTACTCTCAAGTGTAAATGCTTGTATCGGCGTCGTTCGAATTGTGGCTGTTGCTGGCCCAAGATTTAAGTTCGTCCCTGGAGCTGACGAACACAGTACGAAAATGAAACTAACTCTCACACTTTTGACCAAGAGTTGCACGCTGCAGTCGCTGTGCGCATCTGACAGCAACGTTCGAGCAAATGTAGATCCCTGCGCGCCTTGGTGCGAACTAGTACAACGGCAACCCCACCAAGCCATTCCGATATGTTCGAGCGCCAAGTCTGCGACAAAAAGTGTACTTTGCTATGCTTCAAATTTGTTGTGCATCCTGTTGATGCGTACCTGGTGCTGCATGTTGGGCCGTACTTCAACGCTCGCATCGCCTGTCACCTCCAAGAGCAAATCCTTCTGCCACCGCGCGAGTTCCGAGATAGAGGTGCGCCCTGTACGCATCCGCATTGGAACTTCGCAAAAAGAGGGCTCGTGCATCTTTCCGCCGCGGCTGCTGCCATGTCTACGTACAAGCCGGATCGTGCTCCAGGTCGCTGGGAGACCCTAGTGCCGCTGCGCTAGCATGGTGCATGGCGAGCCACTGATGAGGATGCGGGCTGATTCCCCCGCACCTGGCCTGTAAATCCAAACCCTGCAGTGACCAGGCAAGGAACAATCGGTCCACCAGGACGAGCGCTGCGTGTGGCCGCAGTGCTGACGCATGCTGGGGACCCAGGTCTGGTTGCCCTGGCAGGAGGCCGTTTGGGACTCCCAGTTAATAGTAGTGACCCGCCGTGGCATAAGCCACGTTTGCTCGCAGTCGGTAGAAGAAGAACAACAATAACAAAACAGAAAACTACCATTAACATAATTGTCTGGCGCTCCGCACGGAATTGCTGGATCTGCGCTGGACCTCCTCCCTGGCACGCGGAGCGACGGAGGCGCCGCCGGGGGGTCCCAACGCGGATCCTGCAGATCCGCGCGGAACGCCACAGGTTTTTAGGTTCATGGCATTTTCTTTTTCGAGTCGGACACCCTGATCTTCAGCCCTGGGGTCAGGTCGGGCATGTCATCCTACAGGCGAATTCCGAGAGGAAAATTGAAAGAATCAGAATCCTCCAAAAACATTTATCTTAGAAAAGAAGTGTCGTCCCCCGACGGTGTTTCTCACTCCCCCCCGCGCCCGCGCCTGCTTGTAAGACGCCCCGTTGTCGACGCGCCAGAAGTCGACCATGAACTCGCTCTCGATGCAGAAGCCGACGGGGATGGACACGCCGACCTCGAGGGCGCTCCCGGGGAATCCCCCGGGAGGAGGAGGAGGACCAGTGCAAACCCAAGGCTCACCAACGATGATGCAATACAACCTCCATGCACGTTCCCTCTTCACGGTTCCTGCCAAGAATTTGAATACTCACTGAGCGAAGCTCCCCCTTGGTAGACAACCCGTCTAAAAATCCCAACCGTGCCAAAACACAGCTCCTGGGACTGCACCGCCTCGAATCAACATTATTCAAGACGCTTCGCGCTCACCACCCGCCCACTCCAGTTCTCGCCAGACGAGGCGCAGACGGCGCCACTAGGGGATGAACATCTGCAGAAATCATACGGCGTCTCCCGCAGGTGTGTGTTGTTGTTTGTGTCTGCTCTCCACTGTTGTTCCCAACCCATGCCTAAAGGGCAACAAGAACCTCGACCTGCATGATGGGTGCATTGTCAACCACCACCACCACCGCCAAATGTAGGACGGGGCAGGAGAGGATGGGGAAGTCCTCCTCCTCCTCCTCCTCCTCCTCCTCCTCCTCCTCCTCCTCCTTCTCCTCCTCCTCCTCCTCCTCCTCCTCCTCCTCCTCCTCCTCCTCCCTCTCCCTATGGTAGCGTTGGCGGAAAATCGGCCCATCTCTGCACCCTCTGCACCTCCTGCGCGGCAGGTGCCGCCGCGATGCGGCCGCTGCGGCCGCCGCGGGCGTGGCAGCGCGGCTCCTGCCGCGCGGAGGGTGCGCAAGGTGCAGGCCGAGGGTGGCTCCTCCATCCTTGGCCTCGGGTCAGCCAGCGACCGATGTCAGCACCAGGAGCCCGAGCGCCACCTGCAGCGGGCGCTTCACGGCCACGCCCGTGGTCACGAACAGCAGCGACAGGAGCAGGCAGACCACGACCAGCGCCCACACGATCGGGCCGTAGTCCTCCGTGCCCCCAACTCCCTTTTTATCGGGTCATGGAACAGGGAAAAACACAGCTGCGGCACGTGTTTCGTCATTTTCGGCCTCGGGAGTCACCAGGCCCCAGGAGCGTCAACCAAACGGCTCGGGGTGAGAAACTGGTCCCGGGGAAGGGGCCCAAACCTCTGGGGGGCCCACGTCGTGGACAAAAACGACGTCGAGGGTGTCGGCCGGGTGTTGCTACAAGCGTGGTCCTGGCCCAGGGTGCTCCCAGCTTGTCGCGCAACTCTGGGGCCCTCTGTGCCTCGTGAGGGGTGCCCTGGAGCCTATCTGAGCCTCGAGGGCACCTTGGGCCTGGAAGCCCCTCGGCCACAACCGACCGAGACGGGCCGGCCGATGGCGACAGGCCTGGGGCCAAGACATCCTGCACGAGCCTGGGGAGAAGCGTGCCGAAGCAAGTGCCGGCGTTCCCAGATCTCCAACGACACGTATGTGTTTTTCAGCCCCTGGCGTTCCCAAATCTCCGACGATACGTGGCAGGATCAGGAAACCCTGAACCAAAAACACTTGCCATCTCTTGGAATACCGATGGTTACTTCCGCCAGCTTCCGCCGGCCTTCCGCCGGCGGAGGCAGCCTCCTGCTACTTCCAGCTTTCTGTTAACAAAAATAATGATTAGTTTTCCACTTAAGTCATGGAATCAGACATCATATAACATTTGAATGGCTACGTGTTCAACTGCGCACTCTGAATTTTATTACGATTCAAACCCTAAAAAATCATATTAAATCCATAAAAACTGTCAAAACGGAAAAAAAACTTTCAGCATCCCAAGAGGCTTCGGAAATATTGAACATATTATCGCACTCTCGTTTTTTAACAAAAACAGTCCTAAACCCGGGTATCCCTGAAAACATTTTTATGTATCTATAAAAACGATAGCAACTATCAACCCAGCAAAACACAGCGAACCAAACCAACTGCAAACCAGCCAAACCATCAAACCATAACAACTGCAAACACTGCAACAAAATCTTGCAGACCAGAAAAAACCTCAACACCCAGAATAAGTGAATCGAAGTAATGGGTTAATCAATTTCGACCGAACTCTCACATATTAACTACTCATTAATCACTTCATTAATCAATCACTAGTTCATAATGTCTGGAAACCTTCAAAGCGCAAGAACACCCTTCGAATACGTACCGTAAAACCTTCAACATCGCAAACCCCCAAAAAACCTACAGGACCCAAACAGAGTAAGCACAATCAGAAAACTAATACCATCAAACTCTGAAACAATGAAAATTCTGCAAGCACGCAAAACCCTCAAACCATAAAAATTGTATCAACTTTCAAATTTTGCAGATTCTAAACAACCCTCAACACCCGGAATCCTTCAATCAATCAAGTAGTCAATTAAGCAAGTACGCATTAAACTATTATTTGCAAAATGATGATTAATTGACAGATAAACAAGTCAAGCCAGAGAAATCAAACACAAACTAAACAGACAACACAACATAGCAATACGACGCAACAAACAAACAGGAAAAAAAGAAAGAAAACCAGACGAGCAAAACAACAAAACCCACCAACCAACAAACTTCAAACATATGGTAACGAACACAATGATATTACACATCACCATTGTCTGAAATTGACATACTTCAAATATGAACGATTACCCCAGTATTCCCAACCATCCTGTGGTGTTGGGTCCTCGTTTTGAGGAGATGGCGCCCCGCGTTCCTCCTCCTCCTTTTCCTCCCGCTGCCTCCTCCGAGGGCCCCAGTGGCAGGGTGCGCATGGCGCCACCGCGTCCATTTCGGCACGCCCCTCACACGGTTCGTGGCTCCATAGGGGGTTCCACAGAAGGCCCAAGCGGCAGGGTTCCCATGGCGCAACCGCACTCGTTTCGGCAAACGCCTCACACGGTTCGTGGCCCCATAGGGAGCTCCACCGAAGGCCCCAAATGCAGGGTTCGCATGCGGTTCCCCGCCCACCGCGCGTCCATTTCGGCACACGGTTCGTGGGCTCATTGGGAGCTCCACCGAGGGCCCCGGCAGCTGGGTTCGCATGCGGTTCCCAGCCCACCCCAGGTCCATTCCGGCACACCCCTCGCACGGTTCGTGGCCCCAGAAGGGGCTCCACCCTGACCGAAGGCCCCAGCGGCAAGCTTCGCATGCGGTTCCCCGCCCACAGCGCGTCCATTTCGGCACACCCCTCACACTGTTCGTGGCCCCATAGGGAGCTCCACCGAGGGCCCCGGCAGCAGGGTTCGCATGCGGTTCCCTGCCCACTCCAGGTCCATTTCGGCACACCCCTCACACGGTTCGTGGCCCCATACATAGGGGGCTCCACCGAAGGGCCCAGTGGCAAGGTTCGCATGCGCTTCCCCGCCCACCGCGCGTCCATTCCGGCACACGCCTCGCACGGTTCGTGGCCCCATAGGATGCTCCACCGAGGGTCTCGGCAGCACGGTTCGCATGCGGTTCCCCGCCCACCACGCGTCCATTTCGGCAAACCCCTCACACGGTTCGTGGGCCCATAGGGAGCGTCACCGAAGGCCCCAGTAAGGGTTCGCATGCGGTTCCCCGCCCACCGCGCGTCCATTTCGGCACACCCCTCACACGGTTCCACCGAGGGCACTGTCAGCAGGGTTCGCATGTTGTTCCCCGCCCACCCTTGGTCCATTTCGGCAAACCCCTTACACCGTTCGTGGCCTCATGGGGAGCTCCACCGAAGGGCCAAGTGGCAAGGTTCGCATGCGCTTCCCCGCCCACCGCGCGTCCATTCTGGCACACCCCTCACACGGTTCCACCGAGGGCACCGTCAGCAAGGTTCGCATGCGGTTCCCCGCCAACCCCAGGTCCATTTTGGAAAACCCCTCACACCTCTCGTGGCCTCATATGTACACCGGACTCACTTCTATAGCGCTCACTTCTATAGTGCTCACTTTGAAATTGTGGTCCGGAAGGGGCCGCACATGCAGGCACATGCCGCACAGTCGCATGCACATGCCCATGCAAATATACAAAAGCCTCAACAGCATTGCCGCACATGCGCGCACATGCCACACCGTCCGACGCACAGTCGAATGCACGGTCAAGCAAAACTCTGAAAGCATAGACGCACATGCCCGCACATGCCGCAGAGATGTCGCAGGCGATAGTGGCCTGACCACCTGAGCTCGGGGCATTTCGCAACCCAGAGTTCCGAGGATGTCTCAGGCAAGCGTGGCCGGATCACCATGGGGCAGGGCATCTTGGAAACCAGAGTGGCGAGGATGTCGCTGGTCAAGGTGACCAGACGACCATGGGGCAGGACACCTCCGAGGTCTGAGTTGTGAGGATGTCTCAAGCGAAAGTGGCCTGACCACCATGGGGCAAGAGATCTCTGAGGTCAGAGTTGCGAGGATGTCTCTGGGGAGAGTGGTCTGACCACCTCAGCCCAGGGCATCTCGGAGCCCAGAGTTGCGAGGATGTCTCAGGCAGGACTGGCCTGACCACCTGCTCAGGGCATCTCAGAACCCAGAGTTGCGAGGGTCTCAGGCGAAAAAGGCCGAGACACTATGGAGCAGGGCATCATTGAGGTCAGAGTTGCGAGGATGTCTCAGGCAAAAGTGGCCTGAACAGCTCAACTCAGGGCATCTCGGGCGAGGATATCCAAAGGTAAAATGGTCTAACCACCTCAGCTCAGGGCGTCTCGGAACCCCGAGTTCCGAGGATGTCTCAGGCGAAAGGGGCCGAGACACTATCGAGCAGGGCATCATTGAGATCAGGGTTGCGAGGATGTCTCAGGCGACAGTGCCTGACCACCTCAGCTCGGGGCATATCGGAATCGAGACTTGCGAGAATGTCTCAGGCGACCGTGGCCTGACCAGCATGGGGCAGGAGATCTCTGAGGTCAGAGTTGCGAGGATGTCTCAGGCGAAAGTGGTCTAACCACCTCAGCTCAGGGCGTCTCGAAACCCAGAGTCCCGAGGATGTCTCAAGCGAAAGTGGCCGGGCCTCCATGGGGCAGGGCATCTCCGAGACCAGAGTTGCGAGGATGTCTCAGGCGAAGGTGGCCAGATCACTTCATGTCAAAGCACGTCGGCCTCCAGATTGCCGACGACGTCTCACGCGGAACTGGCCAGACGCGAACGCGCCGGCGTCTGGAGACGAACGCCGGCCCCGGCATTCGTGCACGTCCCGCACATGCACTGCACAGGTACGCACAGTATTCGCACAGGCCGAGCTCGCCGGTGGCCGAGACAGCCAAAAATAACGCCGATGCCGTCCAAGAAGCCGCCAAGACGGCCCCAGATGCCACGATTTTTCTACTACCGGCCGGGGCCGGTGCTGTAGTAGAAAAATGGTTGGCTATTTGACATAGAAGATAATCGAAAAGGCCCGGCAGAAGGGCCCGAACAAAGCCCCGAGGCAGCCAAAAATAACGCCAAGGCCGTCCAAGAAGCCGTCCAGACGGCCCCAGATGCCACGATTTTTCTACTACCGGCCGGGGCCGGTGCTGTAGTAGAAAAATGGTTGGCTATTTGACGTCGAAGATAGCCGAAAAGGCCCGGCAGAAGGGCCCGAACAAAGCCCCGAGGCAGCCAAAAATAGCGCCAAAGCCGTCCAAGAAGCCGTCCAGACGGGCCTAGATGCCACGATTTTTCTACTACCGGCCGGGGCCGGTGCTGTAGTAGAAAAGTGGTTGGCTATTTGACGTAGAGAATAGCCGAAAAGGCCCGGCAAAATGGCCCGAACAAAGCCCCGAGGCGGCCAAAAATAACGCCGAGGCCGTCCAAGAAGCCGCCAAGACGGGCCGTCAAGCCACTTTCGCCTGAGACATCCTCGCAACTCTCACCTCCTCCTCCTCCTCCCCCTCCTCCTCTTCCTCCTCCTCCTCCTCCTCCTCCTCCTCCTCCTTCTCCTCTGGCCGAGCCGAACAGGCAGGCGGGCCAGCCGAGCCGGGGGCGCCCGCCTTCTCCGCCCCCCCCTCCTCCCCCTCCCCTCCACCTCCCCCCCCCCCATCCCTGCTTCTCCGGCCGAGCTGAGAAGGCGCGCGGGAGAGTATTTTATTAGGCGGGCGCGCCACCGCCAGCTCACGAACCGGGCGAAGAACCGCCCCCGCCAGCAGCGGGCGAGTCTAAACGCACAACAAACTCTTTCAGGAAGCCCTGGCACGCCCCAGGTTAGCTCTGCGAAGGCCAGGAGGCATTGGAGGCACAGGGGTCCCAGACAGCTCCTAGGGCATGAGCGTGCATGTGCATTGGGATGTGCACGCATGTGCGCCCGCGCGCTTCACCGCATGTGCGTGCATGTGCGGGCCCGCGCGGCCTCCCGAAGAGAGGTTGCGCAGGCATGTGCGTGCATGTGCCGATGACAGATCTGCGATTCTCGAACACCTCCCGCATGTGCAGGCATGTGCGCGCATGTGCGTCGGACTGTGCGTGCATGTGCGTATGATGGATACATCAAAACACAGCGCACATGCCCCCGCACATGCCCGGGCACGACGTGCACAGTAGGAAGTCCATCCAAGAAGGACCGCACAGGCCTGGCACATGACTGGCACATGCCGCGCACATGCGCGCACATGACAGCGCAAAAACGGCCGCACATACACCCACCCAGGGGTATAGATGTGAGTGCGGTGTAGCTCCACCGAAGGCCCCAGTGGCAGGGTTCGCATGCGGTTCCCCGCCCACCGCGCGTCCATTTCGGCACACCCCATCACACGGTTCGTGGCCCCATAGGGAGCTCCACCGAGGGCCCTGGCAGCAGGGTTCGCATGCGGTTCCCCGCCCACCGGATCTGCGGTTCCCCGCCGAGTACAGCGCTTCGTGGCCCTAGAGGGAGCTCCACGGAAGACGATACCCACAACTGCGGTACTCACAACTGCATATGGTTGGGTTCTTCGCCAGGCTACTCTAACATGTTCATGGAGTTATGACGCATATGTGTCTCAAAAATATGGAAAGTGTTGGTAGTGTGGTTCACATCGGTGTTTCAAACAGTTTGATCAAGCTGTTGTCTGTTGCAAGTGAGTTTCTACATAGCTCCTTTTAAAAAATGTAATCAGAACAGGCTTCCAAAATTCGAAATCATGTCTAACGTTCGAGAACAGTGCCGAAGGAATTATATGGACAGAATAATGACCACAATGGGGCACAACATCTTATTGACTTAGACACGGCTTGAATAGAGCTGGATGCCAACATTTTCTCTCAAATTCACGCACCTGGATCGAATGCATGATATAACAAACTCTGCCGTCTGTAAGTCCAACGTCAAAATGCATCATGTTTAACACACCACAACTTAGACCAGTAAAACAACCAATAATTCAAAGCGAGATGTTTCATGCGTATGTAGATGTATTCCAGAATATGTACGTATATATATATATATATAGAGAGAGAGACATTCATACATGCGTATACAAATGTATAAACATATACATAATCATAGTTGCCATGTCCTTCTTCACTGGTTTGGGGCCTCCTCATTTGGATCATCTACGAGTGCTCAGTTCTATACAAGCGAACCTGGGCCGTTACATGCATTAATTCCAAAACGAATTGCGTAATGTAACTGAAAAGTAATTCAAATATGATGTCCGACATACTTGTAATAGAGAGGAACTGTGAGGTATGTCTGCCACCTGCCGCCGTCCTCACATGGCCATTCTCCGAATAAGACATCGCAGCTCCATCGATCTTGGAGGGCAAAGCCCCGTCTGGAATGCCACATGTGCATTTCATTCCCGGCGTATCTCCTCACTTTCGGCATCCAGGGCCCGTCATTGGCCCCCTGGGATGAGGTCGCGCATGTCCTCCTACAGGCCGATTTGGGAGGAAAAATACATTATAGTCAACAGATATTCAAAAATAGTCAGGCATAGTCGAAAGATCGTCCCAATATTATTCGTTGACTATTTTGGGATACTCCTCCTGTAGAAGGGACACGCCCGCCTTACCCCTGAGACCATCAAACATTGTTGCGGGACGGTGCACTGGCCCCAGGGAAGGGGTCGGGAACGCTGGGGCCTCGGACCGAAGATAGAAACCGCGGGCAGCCTACGCGCCAATGTCGGCGCAGACGACCCCGTTTTGTTGCGTCGACCATGTGCACCGAGATAGAGGTAGACGGCAGTCTGCAGCAGTGACTGCAGCCGTGTGGCATCAGGAGTGGTTACTGGAGTGCAGTAAGGACGGTGACCAGGCCATGCGGGCGACCTGTGGCAGTGTTCGCTTTCATTCAGGGATGCCCCGTCGACCTCGTCCTCGTCATCTTCATCCTCCTCCTCCTCCTCTCCTCCTCGACGTCTTCCTCCTCCTCCTCCTTCTCCTCCTCCTCCTCCTCCCCCTCCTCTGTTGCTTCTCCTCCTGCTTCTCCTCCTCGTCTGTACGCCTCTCTATGCTTCGAGCTGCCTGTTGCTCCGAGGCGGGCCGGGCCGAAGCAGGGCCAGAGACAGCCTGCTCGCGCTTGTTGGAGCTTCGAGGAGCAGAGGGGGTGCGATCGAGGAGTTCGAGGAGTCGCTGATCCCCCCCCCAGGTCCCGAAGACTCCAGGTGGCATGTCAGGGGCGGAAGAGCCTCTGAGATGCTACCAGTCAGGCCACGGGCTGCGCACAGACAGCCCCCCAGCTAGTTCCGGCTGGCCTCAACAGGCCCGCCGGGTAGTCCGGGGCGGTCTCAACGCCCCGGCGCCGCCTCCAGCGGCGCCCTTTGGGCGCTCCGCGCCACATGGGCTGGAGTGTTCAGACTGTTCCGGACTACCTACGGGGCCTGTTGAGACCAGTCGGCCCTACCTGGGGGCGTCCGTGCGCAACACGGCGCCATACCTTCCGATGTGACACAACACGGCAGCACAATGACGGCTCCTCGTACGCGAAGACCAGCAGAGAGACGATAAGACCTAAGCGGGACCCGCTCGATCACAGCTGGAAGGGACGGGAGCCCAGCTTCGCCGAGCCCACCCAGCCTGCTCGCCTGCTCTAGCTCCTGATCCTCTTCGGCCAGATCCACCTCCTCCTCCTCCTCCTCCTCCTCCTCCTTCTTGGTCTCATCCCCCTCCTCCTTCTCCTCCTCCTCCCCACTCATTCATCCTCATCATCATCACCACCATCATCATCGTCAGCATCATCCGCATCATCATCGACAGCATCATCATCGCCATCATCATCAGCAGCATCATCAACATCAAATACATCGAAATCATCATCTGGAGCATCATCATCAGCATCAGCATCGTCAACCGCATCATCATCAGCATCATCAACGGCAGCACCATCATTAACGTCAGCATGTCCACCAGCAGCATCATCATCAGCAAAATCAACAGCATCATCAGCATCAGCATCAGCATCAGCATCATCAGCAGCATCGTCACCATCCTCATTATCATCATCGACGTCATCACCAGCCGTAAGCATCACCAGCATCATCATCATCATCATCATCATCATCATCGTCATCATCACCATCATCATCAGTATCATCATCACCATCATCACCATCAACAACATAAATCAGAATCATGTTAATAAGCATTGTAATCAGCATCATAATCGGCATCATCATCTCAAGCACCGTCATCCTCCTCCTCATCATCATCATCATCATCATCATCATCATCATCATCATCATCCTCAGCATCATCATCAGCATCATCAACAGCATGATCGCCAACAGTTGTACCATCATAATCATCATCATCAGCATTGTCATCATCAGCAGCAGCATCATCACCATCATCACCATCACTATAACCATCACCAGTTATACCATCATTGACACCATCATCATCATCATCATCATCATCATCATCAGCAGCATCATCATCATCATCATCATCATCATCATCATCATCATCATCATCATCATCATCATCATCATCATCATCATCATCATCATCATCATCATCATCATCAGTATCATCGTCATCGTCATCATCATCCTCAGCATCATCACAAGCAGAATCGCCAAAAATTGTACCATCATAATCATCATCATCAGCATTGTCATCACCATCAGCAGCAGCATCATCACCATCATCACCATGACTACCACCATCATCAGTTGTGTCATCATCGGCATCATCATCATCATCATCATCATCATCATCATCATCATCATGATCATCATCATCATCATCATCATCATCATCCTCATCATCATCATCATCATCATCATCATCATCATCATCATCATCATCATCATCATCATCATCCTCATCCTCATCCTCATCCTCATCATCGTCATCGTCATCGGCATCGTCATCGTCATCGTCATCATCAGCATCATCAGAATTCCCATGCTCCTACTCCTCTTCCTGCGCCCCATCCTCTCCCCCTGCCTCCCCCCACCACCAGAAGCCGTGGGAGGCCGTGGCAGGCCCGAAGGAATGCTGTGCACGAGCGCCCCAGACCAGGATCCTCAAGCCGCGAGGACCGAAAATCCTCCCACAACGTCTCCCCTTCCTCCTCCTCCTCCGCCTCCTCCTCCTCCTCCTCCTCCTCCTCCTCCTCCTCTTCCTCCTCCTCCTCCTCCTTCTCCTCCGTAGCCATTTTGGCTCAGGCCATTTTGGCTCAAGCAGTTGTGGCGCAAGCCTAATTCGTCAGTTGACTGTTTGGCTTTTCTCGCCACCCCGCCCGCGCTCCGCTCCGGCAATCTCCCCCGCAAGCTTTGCTCTCCGATGGCGGTGCCAACGTTCGATGAATCTTGGCGCCAGGACCCGATATTGGTGGGTGGCGTGGCGCCACCATGCGGAGCTAATTTTCAACGCTACGTGCCACCGACATTCGGCGTCATCTTGCACGCGCCGATGTACTCTCGCAAGGTTGGCATCGTGAGGGCCCGCACACCACATCCCGAGAACCTGAACGGCCTGCAGCGCGTGGTGGGGGCGTCCGCGGAGCCAATCGCTTCGCATGGCTCTGTCGGCGCAGAGTTGGGCGGCCCGGAGCTCGTGGTGGGGTCGCCCGCGAAGCCGGTTGCTTCGCGCGGCCCTGACAGTGCTCGTGCAAGTTTGCTTGGGGCAGGCCTGGACGGGTCCGAGACCTTGAGAGGTGCGATCGGGGCAGCGGTGTTGGCTTTGCGCCGGAAGCTGAAAGGCAAGTCCTCATCTCAGAATTTCTCTGAGATCAAAGAGGCCCCGCCAGCTGCGCCGGCCTCGCCAGATTCAGAGCTCGGTCATATGTCCAGGCGCACAAGACAGCCAGTAGTGCATAGCTGATGTTTTTCTGCATGCCCCAAGGGAGAACATGTTGCCGCTGTGCAGAAGCCACCCGCACTCGAGGAGGAGGAGGGGATCGCTCTGCCAGCAGGTGCCCAGAGAAGTGGGGGAGGAGGAACGGGGAGGGGAGCAGCACGAGCGTGGTCGTGGCGCGAGGAGTGGCATGCACGTCGCGGCGCAACCTGCCAGTGGCCGATCAGGCCTCGGCAGTTCGGCCGCACTCGGACACGTCCTGTGCTAACACGGCCCTGCGACTCGAGCACTGATTGCCGAGTCCTCCTGTACGACCAAGCGGGGCCTTGCCCGCGTTGCATTCCGTTTTCTTTTATTTTCTTCCCCCACCCCTCGCGTCTCCAGTAGATTCTCCTCCAGCAGGTTTGTCTCACACCCAGCATTCAAACGCCGCAGTGGTGCTGGGAAATTCCCCTAGCGTGGCAATCATCATCACTACTAGCGCCATCGTGCATCAACACCCTCTTCTTCTTCTTCATCATCATCATCACTTTTCGAGAATCGTCGGGTGGCGTCGACTTGCCAGCACTGTACTGGCTTTGTGGAGAGACGCAAGTATCTTGGTGGTACCGCGTTGTGGGTTCCAACGGTAGACGGCTGAGGTCAACACAGTCGCGAAGCACGGAGAATGTACATATGAGCACGAAGGAGAATTCGTGCGTTTTTCACTCGGGCTACAAGTGACGCCTGAGATCAACACAGTCGCGCCCGATTCTGGGCCGAGCATTGACTCTCGATCGGTTTGCCTGCCTGCCTGCGTTGTGGGTTCCACAGTAAAGCGGCGGTGGATCACGCTCTCTCATTTATAGGCATCGCGCTGTGTGTATGGCTGTCGGTGGAGCTTGTTTTCGGCCGCGCTCGGACACCCGTCTTGTGCTGACACAGCCCTGCGCCTCGTGGCCATTGTACAGTTGCTGTGCCAGTACGGTGCGCAGGTTCCGTGCCACCACCAGCCTGCGGACGTCGGGTATCATCATCAGCTGCAGCAGCATCATCACATTTCGAGGGGCGTCGGGTGGCGTGGAGTTGTCGGGAGGGCATTTTCGAAGGGAGGGGGGGCGGACCGCCGGGTTCCCGAGGAAGAGGGGGGTGAAGTTTCCACAGTAAAGCGCCAGTGGATCACGCTTCCTCATTTAGAGGTATCGCGCTGCGGGTATGGCTGTCGGTGGAGCTTGTTTTTTGATACACTCGGACACTCGTCCTGCGCTGACACAGCCCTGCGCCTCGTGGCGTCGGTCCGGTCAGTCTGACAGCCGTTCCCCCTTTTTTTCATCGCATTGCACCGTTGCTGTGCCACTATCAGCCTGTTCTTTCTCTGGGGCTGGTATCTAAGGCCACCATGTTACCCTCTCGGCCCGTCCTCCAGCTCCTTCAACTTCAATGTTCTGTGAGGAAGTCCTATTCGTCTGTGCCACCACACTGTGCAGTTGCTGCGCCACCATCAGCCTGTTCTTTTCTGCGGCTGGTGTCTGGTGCCACCACAGCCTGCGGACAACGGGTATCATCATCAGCAGCTTCATCATCACATTTCGAGGGGCGTCGGGTGGCGTGGAATTGTTGGCACTGTACTGGCCTTGTGGGGAGACGCACCCATAGTATTTATAGGTATCGCGCTGTGGGTATGGCTGTCGGTGGTGCTCGTTTTCGGCCGCGCTCGGACACTCGTCCTGCGCTGACACAGCCCTGCGCCTCGTGGCGTCCGACAGCCTGACAGCTGTTTCCCCCAGGGCTAGTCGAATCGGCTTGTGGTCCACACCCAGTAAGAGACTGTACTGTCCTTGGGGGGAGACGCGACAATCTGATGCACGCGGCCGCATAACCTCGTGGACATGCACGCGGCTGCACATGCAAGATCTTCTGCGCCTGCCCCACCCCCAGATCCTCCTCCTCCTCCTCTTCCTCCTGTCTTCCAGGATCCGAAGGAAGCGGTGCTCTGCCGCCACGTGGACCGGAGACAGGAGACCAACCTTCTGCAGGCCCACGGGAACCTGGGGCTCCCCTTCAAATGTTTTGAGTTTGCAGTGCCGCTGGACGCGAGGAAAGTTGGCACCATTTTCTATCCCCCACTTTAACTTGAGTTTGAAGATTCCTCTGGACGCGAGGAAGTTTCGCTCCATTTTCTATCGCTTACTTTGGCTTGAGCTTGAAGCTCCTCTGGACGCAAGGCAGCTTCGCTCCATTTTCTAACCCCCACTTTGGCTGGAGCTTGAAGTTCCGCTGGACGTGAGGGAGCTTCGCTCCTCCTCCTCCTCCTCCTCCTCCTCCTCCTCCTCCCTCCTTCTCCTCCTCCTCCTCCTCCTCTTCCTCCCGAACGACTAGAGGACATCAGTGCCGAACTACATAGTTGGGACGTTATCCTCCTCAGTGGCACATGTAGATGGGCGGGAGTAGAAGCAGTGCAGCGAGACTATCTCCCTAACCACTACGTGTTACAATTCGGTGCCCGCAAAGGGAAGTGGATCAACAAAAGCTGTGGACTAACGATCCTCATCAGTCAGAGAATCAACGAGCGCAGCCTACGAGAGATCTACACTCCACCGACCAGCCTCCAGGGACGGGTCGCAGGAATTCGCCTCTCGACTAGCCAATACGACTACGTACTCTTTGTCTACTACTACGCCCCCACCCATCTCTCGTACTACGTGCCACTAGCAGACGCTATAACTAAA